GGCGCTCGTATAGCTTAGCCTAGTAAAACGGAATGAATGAATAAATGATAGGACAAAATATCCCTAGAGACGGAATTAAGGACAACAGACTATCTTTAGTCCTTTAGTGATTTGATTACTTTAGTTTGAAATCCTGAAGTTCACTCTGTTTTTTACATATTTCAGTTTCATCTTCAATTTAGCAAATTTGTTCAGAAACATTGCATGATTATGATCAAATTCAAAGTACTGTAGTGCGTTTAATCAGCATTTATCCCATCATAAAAAAATTGTCAATTTATGGCTATATACGAATACATGACGAAGCTACGTTGTTATTTATACTTTACCCTTACAATTATAAATATATTACTAAATTATCTGACCGCCTAGTTTATTCCAATTTTTGGATAAATTTCACTTCTCTATTTTAGCACTACTATTTCAAAAATGGAAAAGTAACTCCTAGTGAAAGTGAAGATTCCTATTATCAAGACGATGGAAATTATGTTGCCATATTGTCCTTAAAGGGAAGCCGAATCATTTTTTCAGATATAAATGAAGTAAATACCGTTAATAAACCATCCAGAAAGTTTCAAAAGCAATGGAATATTTTTATGGTAAACAACTTATGCCTTATTTAGCTTTACATAGTCAATTATACTGTAAAATATAAATTATATTATTTAATATCATTATTTATGCATAAACTTGAAATATGACAAATGATTACGTAGGAATAAATCTTTCATTGTACTTAACGCGTTGAATAGGACTGTGGTTTAAGCAACGTTGGTATTTTTTTCTTCGTGGATAAGGGAGACGACTTTGCGGTACAATATATCACTGACTTACAATCGTATTACGTGAGAAGGATTATTCATTAGCAGAGTTGTAATTTGCGAAATATTTTCAATCTCTATTTGACAGATTTACACCCTTCAGAATGTTTTATGCGCCAAGGGACATAAAGCATACATCCAATTTTTTAATTTACATATTCTTTACGTAGATAACTTATGGGGATCAAATTTTTTTATATATACCAGCGATAACAAAATTTTTATTCGTTGTAAATATACGCTGAACATACTACAAATACTGCAGTCACCACAATTCAATAGCAACATGCGAGTTAGGTCTAGTAAAGATCAATCTTTACTGATCTGTAGAGACTTTTATCATATATATAGCATTCTAGAAAGAGTTTAATGCAATTAAATTTTCTTCGGTCAGCCTAATAAACCTTACATCTTCCTTGTTAATGGTAAAGCCATACGATTTGAAGTCAACATTGGTGGCACACTTATCAATTTTAACACGTATAGCCTTTTTCGTTTCTTCACTTTTAGTAAAGCCGTAATCAAAAATTTCGTAGAAGAACCAATGTTTTGTTTCTCTAAGTGGCCATATAAGCGTACAGCTTCATTAGCGTGTAATATATTCCGTAATTCGCTGAAATTTTATCTACGACTATTATTGCGTCTAATCGGCTATTCGATTCACATCTATAACTATATCTCATCCTTAAATCATTTACCACGTTTAAGTAAAGTTTTAGCCTAAAATCATCAGTTTATATTCCGTAAGTTTTTCGATCATGTCTAGTATATCAAATGGTTCACG